TGCATGTGGAGTAATCAAACAGGACACCGCCGCAACAAGAAAACGGAAACAAAGCTGAGAAACCCCCTAGTTTGTATTATAAAATGAGAATGGATAAAACTGAATAGCCGGACCAGGCGGGATGATGAAGCACATCTCCGATCGAATACCACTCGCCTGGCAAGAACTCCGCATAAAACACAACAGACAACCACTCGTAACTATATAAACATATATCTAATGACATATTCAACACATTTGGAGATGAGTATAGAAATTGTAACGAAATGAAATTATCATTGTGAAATTGCTGCAAACTGCATGAGTGTGTTATTTGTTATTACGAATCTATATTATTTTTATACTTGTGTGCGTTTACATTTTAAATATTTAATACGGAGAAGCGGTTCGAACGATTGAAAGAACTCCATCGTCGGATACATTTTACACAAAAATATTCAACATAGTCGGAATCGGAGAATGTATAATAAGGAATCGATTGCGAACAAAAGCACAAGAAATTATAAATTCATGCGAGAAAGAAGAACTTGTAATGTAAGACGAATGTGGAAGACGCAGCGAAAAAAACGATTCAAGAGAAAAGAAATTTGTAAAAATAGGAAAACAAGAAGTACTCTAGGTTACTGCAACTATAAGTTATTTATAATTAAATAAAATACCATATAAAATAAAGTAAGTTCTAGTTATGAAGCAATTTCTCTTTGGAGGTACGGTTCTCACGAGGTTGCAATCAGTAAAAAACATTTAAATGTCCTACTTTTAAAGCACCTGCCAAATAAACGCCTTCAGGTCGGGTTGCATTGCATATACATGTATTTTTAATATTTTGTTTCCATACTTAAGCTAAATGCACAGGCTAAACGGGGATAATAAACATATGCGATACATTGCGGAGGATGCATCGCTGGGCCACATAAACTGTTTGGGAATGGGCAATAGCATCACTCAATGCTCCACATGCCGAATCGTGGACAGGGCTCTAAGATTATTACAGAGACAGTCACTTAAAGGTACGAATTATTTTTTGATTAGGTGTAACTTTCTGTTTCGCAGTTGCAGTTCAGATTACGTTGACAGCACGCAAAAACCAAATGAGGTTCCTGCATGGCTCGCTGTCTTATCCGATGGCCGCCGTTATGAGCTCCGCCACGTCCTGATCTGTGCTGCGCACCGTCAGATTAAGCGTGACGCCCTCTGAAAGCGCCAGCTTGGCCCGCACCAGAACCTCGGCGCCGCCTCTGAAGGTTCCTGTAATGAGGGACAGATTTTACTATGCATCCTACAGCTGAAAGCGAAGAATCCTTACCTGAACAGAGCAACGTATGCAGGTGCGTACCCTCAGGTACATTTTCTGAGAGGTTTGCAGCGCCCAGCCCCAGGATCTTGACTATAGTGTTCACGGCTTCCTGCAAGGTGGTCACTGCCGACAGCACAAAGGTATCCTCGGCTTGCAGCCATTCTGCAAATATGCAAATATTACCAATCATTGTATAAACCCTATCTTCTTTCTGTGGCACCTTCGGTGTCAGCCGCATCCCAGGACACTTGGAAATTGTTCTTTCTGGTTTTCTGTATCTGATCGGCAACCGTCAGCTCCAAGTCCTCCAGCATGTACTCGTCGTCATAGCCCTCATCTGAGTCCGGCTCGCCGGTGTTGGGATCGCAGTCCTTGACCACAAATCGCAAAGTGGCACCAAAGGTGGCTAAAATGAGATACAGTAAATGATTAATCAGAGATTATTGGCCATTTACAATTTAGAGAAAAATTGTACGCTCTTATAATAAACTTACCAATGGAACTGGCGGCGTCGGGCGGGAATTCTACGATGACAAATGTGGTTTGCAGATCGTTGTAGGGTAACTTGGGACATGGAATGACCGCCCTGGCTGTGAATCCTTCCGGCAGCGTGAGCTCCACCCGCACATTTTCCAGAATTTGGTCGGACAGCGTATTCAAGCAGTCGAATTGGAATACCACGTGCTGACCGAATATGTGTTTGATGCATTGCACCGTGTACTCCGTTTCGCTTTCGGTCAGCTGGATGGGAGCTGTGCTGCGATGGATGGGGCCCAACACCTGGATGCCTGGCAACTGTGCCAGACGTGCAGCACTCTCCTCCTCCCGCGTGATTTTCGGCGGCCGTGGAGCACTGCTGGTAACTAGCATTACATCGTTGGCAATCACCGGCTTAACTATGGCCGCTTTGGGCACAATGGAAATATCAAAGCGTGTGTCCAGGTCGCCATTCAAATGATCGACAAGCGATTTCTCCAGCAGAGCCAGAGAACAATTCTCCCTCTCGATAATGTAGTTCTTGTAAAGCTCTGGCCTTTCCGAGTTAAGGATGCTAAGGTAGTAGGTGGCACGGTCACGCACCTCGTCGTCCGGATCCATCTGGCAACGACCGAGCAGAACGAGAATATTGCTTAACAGGGCTGGGCAAGATGCGCCAAACTGGGCCATGGCCGTGACCGCGGCAGCTCGCACAATAGGGCTCTCCAGGATGACGCGGTTGTAGATAAAGCGTATGTACTTGGAGGGTGTGGCCGCAAAGGGTCCCTCCTTGCCCAGCAGGTGAAGAATCCTCACCGCCAGTGAAACATGTTCACAATCCTCGATGAACTCGCACAGATGCGACAAGCCAGACTCCTTCGCGTCCGCATTCTCCTCGATGATCGTGATGATGGTGTCAACTATGGAGGTCTTGTACTCAAGGCCACCCTCCTCGCGCAGCATACCGCTAAGGAAGTTCATCAGCACTGTGTGCTTGCGCGGATACTTTGTACACAGAGCGCAAATGGCCTGTACGACCACCACCTTGAACTCATCAGAAATCTCGGCCACAAACGTGGAGATCTGCTTCATCAGACGCTCCACCGAGGATTCAGCGCCGGTCTTTAATAGCGTAGTGATGGCCAGAGTGGCTACCGATCGATTGGAGTCCGTGATGAGACCCTCCAGGTCCAAATTGCAGGTGGTCACCGCCGCCGGGTGCGTCATGGCCACCTTGTTGAGCGTTCGCACAGCCGCAAAGCGCAACGTTGCCTTCGGCGAGCTGCAGAATAGCTGGAGGATGGAGAACGCCGGCGATAGCATTCGCGGATTGGTGTTCTTCAGGTTGACAATAGCGTGGGCCGCCTCGTAGATGACCATCTCGCTCTTGTGGCGCAGACACGACTCGATGAACGTAAACAAGGGCGAATCGGACAGCTCTTCAGAGGGAATGTCCTCCTCCTCGATCAGCTTACAGGCAATGCGTATCTGGGGGATGTAAAACGAATAATAAATCTTTTCTTCGAATCTTTTGCATAATGAAAAGTTTAGGTCACAAGCTGCACTTACCAGCATACAAACGGCATAGGGACTCTTCAGAGAGCCTCTGGTCAGTTTGTTGACCAACTTGGAGACAGCTAGCCGATCCGACTTGCGGATGTGGTAGAGCAGACCTAACGCGTGGTACTGCACCATAATATTGTCGCTGTTTAAGGCCTCCTGGGCTTCGTTTGCCCACCTCTTGACTACGTCGCCCGCAGTGTAGGCCAATCTCAAGGAACTGACCAATGCAGCACAAGAAACCGCCGCGTTTTTGTCTACAATGCACTGCTTCATGTAGCGCTCCACGGCCTGCAACATGGTGTTATCCGTGATGCTGCACAAGGCGCGGATGGCGGCGGCCCTGTACAGGTCTTCCTTGCCGGTCATATCCTTCGTTAGCGAGCTGGTCACGATGATTACGTCCTCAGCAATGGAGCTCAGCTCCTTGATGCCCAGATAAACCATACGACGCAGCACCACGTCCTTAGATTGGAAGAGCTTCGTCATCGCAAAAAAGCAGTCGGTGGCCTCACGGGCCACCAGCTGCTCACCCTGATTGATCAGGTACAGGATTTTGGTAAGGATGTGGATGCACTTCCTTGGATTCACCGGCGTGTCATTGAAGGTGCGCGTCTCCTGAAGCACCGAGGTTTTTTCCAGGTTCTGGTACGCATTGATCGGTCCTGCTGGCGGATGGCCGAAATGTTTTTTGTGCGAGGCACGGGAAAAATAATTCATTTTCTCAGTCAATTTAAGGAAAACTCGATTTTTCTCGACTTTGTCGGGTTAGTGGGTGTGTGAGTGTGTGTCTGTGCCAGCGGAGCACCTTCCAGCAACTAGATTGTCTTCGATTGACTTCGCTGGCCGGCGGATTACTTGGGTCCGGGTGTTAGGTGCTACTTACCGTCCTCCTCCTCATCTTTGTCGCGGCGGAACGAACCCATTGTCTTGGAACTTTCGGTTAAATCGTGGGAAAAGCAATTGAAATGGTTTTCTGGCTGCGCTTACACGTCACTCAGCGGTGCCCAGTTGGTTAATCTGTTATCGATGTGAAAACATCAGTGAAGTATCGATAACACCGATGTTGTTCTTATCTTCCCGAGTAAACTTGTTTCCTGTTTTTTGAGGGATTATATCTTTGGCTGGTGTTTCATTACAACCGACAGTATTCATCGAAATCGGCACTGAAATCATGTAGTTTTTATTAATTTTTAGCTTTTTAGTTTTGCCTGTAGTAAATACAAAATGAACCAGCGGTAATTCACTTACTGGTTCGATTATATGCGTCGATAACTTATCGATTTTGTGTAGGCGGCTGGAATAGTTAAACTTTGAATTGGCTCCGTGTTGATTTATTCATGACATTGCCAGAAAATGGTAAACATAGAATAATATATAATTTTTCGCCATATTTTAATATTTAGTGTTTTTAATGGACAATTGAAAATTGTGTTGCAAAGTCTTCTTTATTTAGAAATATTCTATTGGTGTGAGGATTGAGTCATTGAGGCATTATTCTTCACTTATAACTTCAATTTCGTATGTAATTTCCTCTTATTTTCTAGTAAACCTAATCATTTAGAGCTTTATTTTCGATTTGCTGGAGGTGAAAGTTTCTCAAAAAGTTAGATCGATAGACTACATACGCAAGAAGTAATCGCATAAGCCCTAATTAATCGAATACAGATCCTGATTACAAAATGGACGCCAGCTTTTTTGTCAGCTCTAGTTTGTGTTTACCAATTAATTACGACTTTGAATTGTGTTTACTTAATTTATGCGTGCATAAGCACCACCAATTAGCGAAAACAAGAAACCCATTATATTGAATTGTCAATTTCCGGCGCGCTGCAAGTGCCGTTAATTGCACTTAGCATGCCGCGGGGAAATTCCGGCGCACGAAGAAACAGCTTCATTGCGTGTCCACAAGACGAGGACCTCCGCCAAAACGCCAAAAAAGAAAGAACCCGAAAAGATCGAGACACCTACAGCATGAATTTATGGCCAGGCGATAAGCGCCGGCCAGGAGGAAAATCTGCCTGGTGCCCAAAATTGGACAAGGAACGTGTGCGTCGGACGAGCGGAGAATTTAGTAGCTGTCAAAGGCATCAGCTGTGGCCCCTGGAAACACCTACGAAGCCACGAGACACCGATGCCTGGCAAATCCCAAGTCGAAGCCAAGTCGGAGCGAACCCAAGGCCAAAGTCGGAGCAAAAGTTGAGGCGTCGGCGCACGCAAGGAGTGAGCCACAGGTGAGTTTCGGGCTGGATGCCAACCAACAGTAGAACACCAATTTGTGGAACGCTGCCTCACTGCGTCTCCGGACGCCATTCATTCTGGGGCACCACTTGTGGGCTATATACCGTTACTAAGAGTTTGTATTTTATAACAAGGCAGGGTTAGTTTTGATTTTCAAACAGGCGTGTTTCAGCGTTTTCCTAATTAATTACCTACAAATGTACATCAGGATGGAATGTATTCAGCAGTGCCAAGTGATACTTCGGATTCTTCTTGTCGCCCATCGAACCTCGACTGTAATCCGCAGTTAGCTTTGCGTGCAAATGGCAAGGAATGCAGGCGGGGATCGGATACTCAGGGTTCGGTGTTTCGCTCGGATGGAAGTATAGATCCCGATCCGCTGGTGGCCTGTGACTCCATAAGGCTGATGCTGTCAGTTGCTCTTGCCCGATCATTGGCAGCTTTATTGCCCGCTGGTGTGTGTGTGTGGGCCAACCTGCATACCGATCATAAGTACGAATATGAATCTCTAAGCACTTGCATTCGTTAGTGGGCCTGGTGCGAAAGATGCAAAACGGTTGCAAGTTCGGATTCCAGGTCGGAACCTCCCCCCATCCTTGGCCAAGAACTTCACCGGTGTGCTAACAAGATGGCAACACATGAAATTAGACTGCACCGATGCACGTCCAGCGATAGAAGAAGAACGAACTGATCGTGCCCAGAAAACGGGCAACGGCAGGAACAACAGACTAATTAACATATTCAAATATTTGTCGCATTGTTTCGCCAGTTTCCCAGCTCCATCTGGCAGTTCCCCTCCTTCGGCTGCCGGGTTTATTGAAAAGCCATTTTACGGTTTCATGCTTGAAAGTCATTGCCAAACGACCACGCCCCATCATCTCGAACCCAGCACCCTGGACTGGTGCATCTTCCCTGACTGGTTGTGCACTCCAGACCCCTTGGCGCTATTTTTATCGCATTTTAAAAGGCTATTTGTAGTGGTTCCACCAGGAAGTGGCATAAATTCGCAGCGCATAATGGTTGTGAATAAATTATTTTGCCACAGCTTCCTCTCGTCCATTGATTGGCTGATAAGAGCCATCCTCCGACTGCGGACTCATCCATTGCAATGGCCAACAGTAGAATCCAAGGAGGAAACCCAAAACAGATGCTGCGTACAATGCACTGGTTACGTAATCACTTACTGCGATTCTTGTCCTGCAACGTGAGAGAGGGCAGCCGGCGGCCTTCCTTGTGCACTCCAGCAATTTTCACGCACGCCCCCAACCGGCAAGCCATCCTCTGCTTCTCAGCCTCCATTTCCCCTCTTCCTCCTGATGCGGCTGGGCCAAAACCAAGCCCATAAAAAAGGTAAAGAGCACAGCATGCGGAAAGCAAAAGTCCCACAGTCCGTTAGGCGGAAGCGAGGGAAGCCAGGAACAGAAAGCCAACTAACTGAGATGCCTTTAATTAAATTTGGAGGGGCTCGGTTTGGTGCCTCAGCCTTGCAATTATTGCAGGAGCGTTAAGGTAGATTTATTTGAATATCTCGAAACAGAATTGGATATATAGTTTTCATAAGCATTTCATTAGCGCTTAGAGACGATCGTTTATCGGCAGTATTAAGACATAATATGTGGCTATTTTCTTTTTAATCGCTTCGGAACGTTCTCTCCATATTTTTAAACATTCTCCTTCACCTATTAACCCCGTCAAAGGATTGATGCTAACTGCTAACACCTATCGTTTAACGACGTCACGAAGCGTAAAAAAAATACGGCCATGGCCGTTAGGTAGAACGCCATAAAGTAAAACATAACATTTGCTTAATATTTCCTGTGGCTACAAAATCTATTATGGGTCGTTAAGATTAGAGATATAAACATGTGCTAATCATCTTTATGAAAGGCAGTTGGGTTTTTGAGCAGGCAATCAAAGTTCAGCGGCTGAGCAGAAGTGAAGTGACCTTTGTGGTAACTGCAACTGCCCAAGATTCCAGAGATATATTGCAATTATTAATTGTTTTTCCCCCAGTCTGCAACGGTACTGAACCATTTCACTAATTTTAAATGGCTTTCCACCGCCGACTGCCGCAATCGGCTGTCTGCCTTGAGTTTGCATCGTTCCTGGTCAATGTCCTTACCCATTTCGGTTTTCAGTTTTGTTTGAAAGCGGCTGGGTAAGCATGCGCATTGCGCACGACGCGTCAGTTCCTCCAGCTCCTCCGGTTCCTCCGAGTTGGGCCCAGCCATCCAGATGTTATCCCAGTAGTGACCCCAGAGCAGGGCCATAAATTCTCACAGTATTGCCTACTACACGCCTGCGCCTCCGCAAATGTTCCAATTTGTATTTTTGCACAAATTGTTGTGCCCGCCGTGGAATCTTCAGCTTCTCCTGGTGATCTTGGGGTTGGCTGCCTCGCTTGTTTGTTTTCGGCTGCATTTAATTTAATTTCGCCTGCCCAATTGGGCTGAACCGCAATTAGAGACAAATGTTTTCGGCTGCATTCCATTGGCTACTTAGCCCCATGTTCGTGGCAATTAGCATTAGCCTGTGGGATATACTCGGGGACATGGGCGTGTTATTTCTGGGGCGGGGAAAGTTATCTCCCCGACCAGTTTCCCACACGTTTGTTTTTTGTTTGCTTAATTAGGTGAAAACTGGCTAACAGGGACAGCTGTTTGGCTGCCATGCCGGGCAATTGCTAATGAGCAGGACAAGCTGAAGGAGTTGGCGAAATGAAAAGTAACAAGCCACCGTCCTCGCTTTCAGTCTTTTGCCACTTTGGTATCGGAAAATGGAAAATGGTAAACGGGAAAACGTTTGCCACTCGTCGCTTCAAGTGCTAACTTCCAACTTGGCTAGTTTGTCTTATTGCTCTGGCAGGAAGGTTGGGCATTTTGATAGTAAAGGAAAAATTATATTTCCAAAACTATACATATACATATATACAATTCAACACAATATGCCCAATCTATTAATTTGAACAATTACAACTAGTTCTATACATTTTATTCACTTTGATTACCATATTTATAGTAAAAATTTGCATCTTATTTTATTTGTTGGTGGGAAGAGTATTCGAAAATATCAACTGAGAGACGGTCCGTCTTTGGGTTTGTTGTTCATCGGTGGGCCTTCCATTTCCTCCCCGACTTCTTCTTCATTTCCCTGACTCGTATTGGAGGCGAAATTTGGCGATGCCCATTGCCATGGCAAGTGCATAATTTTTCAATCAAAGCGAGCAGCTGTAAAGCAAACAAAAGCAGAGGCCAAGAGGCAGAAATCGTGAGCAGGCCAACATGGCTAGAAAAGAAAACCCGAATGGGAAAAGGAAGTGCTGCAAACGAGATCTTCAGCTCATCCAATCCCATCTGAGGCCCAATCCCAATGCAAGTCCAAAGCCAAGCTAAATGGCAATGACATTTAAATGCAAATGCCCACGAAGCGTGAGGGTGTTCAATGCGAACTTTATGTATGGAAATTGGCGAAATGCGAGCAAGCTTTTTCCTCAATGGTCAAAGTGTCAGAGTGGCAACGGGTGTAGGTGTCGCCACGCCATTGTCTCTGGAATTTCCGCCCATTCTGGCCGGGCTCTGGGCCATCCCAATCCAGGCCGGGCCAAAGTCAAGCCGCTAATTAAAAGCCATTGCTAACAGTCAACGACTTAATGGCCAAGCATTTGCATAGCTGTCAACGCCAATAAGCCCACACTTGGCCACGTTCTCTAGGCTTGCTCGAAGGTGAGAAAAACCAAAAGCAAAAAGCTCACGCGGCGATGGTCCGGATCGACTGGACAACGCCTGCACTGCTGCGGCATCGCTATACCTCCAACTCCAACTCCAACTACATCTGGAAACTCCATAGCCGTGTCCAAGCCAAATACGCACCAGAACCGGCCATAAAATTGTCAACGCGTGGCTTCGATGGTTTACCCTAGGCCTTTGCAAAGGCATATTCACTATGCAGGCCTTTGTTTTCGATATACGAAACAAAATCGCATCTTCAGTTTCAACTACTTTGTTGGATTTTCTTCTACACATAGATAAAAATACTTATCACTACCCTCGCGAGCTTCAGTTAAATCATTTTTCCACAATTTCGTTAAGAGCATACAGCATTCGGATACGGCAATACTTTTCAATTAACTGCAGCTTAATAGGGGCGTTTTATTCAACGTGGGGCACGACGCACATGCGTTCCCAACACCTTTCCACTGACAGAGGGACGCGGCGGATGACATTCATGCCACGAAGATGGAGACGAGACCCGACTGTGAAGACCGTGGAAGACATCTTCATTCGTAAGGCGGCACATGTCTCTAGCGATACTCGGGTTTTCGCACATTTCAATTTCAACGTGATCATGATTAATCGACACCTTCAGTGGCTCAGAGTTCTTGATGTGGCCCACTACATCGTAGGACTCCGGAGTCGCGAATGGAGAATGGCCGTAATGGCGTGCGTAGCTGGAGCGTTAAAGAGATGGTAACACGCCTGGTTAAGTTCGCTGCCATGCCGCCTCTTTATTTGATTAACACTTTTGTCGGACGCCCCCCACTGAACGATATCCATGTATGCGGCACATGTTAGCCCTGCTCAAATTGCCGTGAAATTATCATAATTTCCTCGGTTGTCTTTCGCTTTGACAAACATCAATTTGGTTAAGCGGTCCTCCAAGTTTCGTCGACCTAATGCTAATGGGAAATGGTCTGGGTTACGGAAAACTGTTGACTTAATCAAAGCGCTAATAAATTTCGACATGCCTGCCCAGCCACCGTAATTAATGTATTAATTCAGTGGCTTGCTGGCATGCGCCTTCTTTCACCAGTTAAAACAGACAGCGTTATTTATGTTTAGACATTTATTAATAAATATTTTTATTTAGGCGTAAGGTTTATTGCATTACTTAATCAGTACAATTCGTTTATTAAATTTACGTTTATTACTCTCATCTCCTTTCTTCTTGAGATTAAACTAAGTCTCTCAGAAGTTCCTAATAACTAGCACCGCCTGTCGTCTCGGCTAATAAATAATAAGAAGTGTGATTCGAAAATTAATAGTTAGGTTAAAAGGATGGTTGGGATGCGGAAATTTGGAAATGCCGCCCTGCACAGAAGCCTGGCGCAAAACATTTTGATACAAAATTATTTGGCAAACTTTGCGGGGTAATTGAGAGCAGCAATATAGTTAATAATAAATAGTATAGTTATAAATGCATTACGCTCGAGGACATGAAGCAGATTTCTCACTAAACTTATAATTAGCCTAACTTTCGCTAGAGAGATTGTAGCTCTATAAACTTACTCGAATTTATCGGGTTAAATTTCCGTTCTTTTCTTGGCAATGCGCCGATTTAAAATGCTGGAATTGCGCATTCCAGTGCATTTAAAAGCGCGCATTCGATTGATCATAAAAAAAGGAGTCAAAACTCCGAGTGTAAACTAATCGTAGACTTAGTCTAGGCTGAATTAATCAAGGGTTCTCAATGATTTCATGTGTCGCTGCTAGGCGAATATTTTCTATTCAAGTCTCATCGAATCTTTTGAAGCTTTCGAGGCATATTGCGTTTGTTCCCAGCTAAGTGTTCCCGGCAAACAGCGAGAGCCACCCAGATTTTTCCTAGAACTGCTGTCCGTAGCGCCCGTTGATGCCGCTATCATAGAGTTTGCTCAGCGTGTCCTTGGCACTGCCCCCGTAGGACGCTCCCGAGGCCGAAGATCCGGCTGAGGAGTTCGGTGGTGGTCCGTACAACATGGTGGGTGCTCCGTAGCTGATGGTGGGCGTGGGCTCGTGCTGGTATAGGTAGCGCTCCTTGCTGGTGCGGCGCTGCACGGTCTTCCAGATGCCGAAGATGCTCAACTGGGCCAACAGGAACAGGGCTCCGGCCATAATAAGTCCTGAAAGAATTGATTGCGAAAAAAAACTGCTGTGATTTTTTGTTTTTTTTTTGTTTTCAAATTAGCGGGAGTAAAATGAAAAACCGTCGAACTCTGTAAGGAATATTTAAACCTGTGTATTATTCTTGTCACTTGTCAAAATAGGGCAAACACCAAGTTGTTATTTCATTGATCATCTTCTTTTGGTCTAGGTCATTCGATAAATAGGAAACCAGAATTTGCTCCAGATTGCTAGTCGAGCAATTGAAAAAGGGAAGTCGGCCTCTTATCGCCATAAATCAAGGGGATTATCTCGAGTTACCGATCAGGTTCGAAAAGTTTCGAGGGAAACTGGTTGTGGCTAGCCGGCAAAATGCCGATAAGATCGCTTCGATGGGCGGAAAACCAGATCGAGAGGAATAAAGGCCAAAAGTGACCTCAGATCGGTTCGGTTATCACAGAAAACAAAAGTGGGCGCCACTTGACCCACTTCGATGTGGACTGAAACCAAAGTAGAGGAGCGAAGAGAAGAATATAGCTCCAAGGTTCCAAGACGGAGAGTGACCAAGTGACCAAGTTTGACAGCAACAAGTTGAAGATAAACAAAAACAATGAGAAATAAAACAACGACAATTTAATGCATGAGTTGCATATTTCGGCACGGACTCGGACTCGGACTCGTACTCGGACTTGGACTTGGACTTGGTCTCTGGCTTCACTTTCTATACCCTAGACATCGCATGTTTCCCCGTTTGCCTGGGTTCTTAACAGTGCAACATGCCACATAAATAAGCCCGGGCTCCAGCGGAGGAAGTACGAAATACTGAACCAAAGCCGGTAGAAATCGGGTGAAAGTGCCGCCAAAGCCAAGCCAAAGTCAAACTCAAAGTCGAGCTGCAGTGCTCAACTTGCATGCGTTGCTGCCGCTGATGTTTTTGTCCAGTTCACGAAATCAGAATTTAAGAGCAACAGCGTCGACGACATGCCAGATGACTATCAGAGATTACTTGGTAACATTGTTGTGGTTGCTCGTTCCTCAAATGACCATAAAAAGTAAGCCGAAAACAAATCAACAAACAAACCGAGAGCCACAACATCGTCATCATCATCATCATGATTTCCATGACTTGAATGAGTTTCAATAACAAAGTGCACGCACTTGAGACTTTTATTTATGTATTTGCCTCCGCTTTTTCATCGCAACAAGAAGACTACAATAACAGTAACCAAAAGAAACAGAAGAGGGATCAACGAAAATATACAAAATTATAACAATTACTATAAACGGTCCACCAAGTTGTGGGAGTTTCGGGGGCAATAAGTAAACCGCGGCCACAAAATGGTAAATAATTTGATGAATCTGAAGACAGAACAAAGAGCAAGGAAAAGCACTGAAGGAAAACACAGATATTTGCTAAAAGAAGGTTCATAAAAAATAAACTATATAAGTCAAAAGGATTTTTTCGCTGCGCAAGCATTAAAAGCGAATTAATGCTTTATTAAACGTACAAATTTCCATTGCAGTCTATTGAAAACTGTGCCGTGAAGGGAACATTAAATGAAGGGAACGAAAACCAGGAAAATTACTGTGCTAAAATTGATTTAGAACTCATTCATTTACTTTATGTATTTCTCATGACTGGCAGGACTAACTGAGAATTTTGAGCTGCATGCGGAAACTAAAATGGATTACCGATTAGTAAGGAATATGAATCTGCATTTAGCAATGCTTTTCCCGAGATCCATAAGCAAAAATTGGAAATAAAAGAAAATCGAAATGTATAACAATAAGTATTGGTAATTTAACCAAGTTGTCGACCGTCAAAATGGCTCTCAGGCGAAAAACTCATTGAATTATGGGGACTTGATGAAAGCGAACTTTTCATCTGTACTTGGGAGGAAAATCCTGGTGATTATTGTCGAGGTAATGGCAGAAATTAAACTCCTGAACTACCATTAAGTTAGTATTAAAATGATTGGAGTAATGAGAAAGGTCCATTTGTAAATAAATACCGGTGCAGAATGTAAAGTGCTCATAAGCTTTCACAAATTACAGGGTGTCGTTGATGCGGCGTTAAATTGCCGCTCTGCATGCCAAAGACGAAGGCCAAGATTCATCTTTTCCTGGGTGCACACGCACATCCAACTTGGCCAGGTGATTTCAGTGGGCAATGTGTGCGGCAAATGAGCTCAAGCACAGGTAGAACCGTTGCTCTAATTGCTTCGGTTTGCGCGCCTCTGATCTGCCTTGAAATGCCTGAAAATGCAGCGCGTAATTACAACTGAAATGCGCGCCTGATGTTTGGTGGTCCAGTGGAGTTTCATCCGTCTAACGAGCTGTCAATTTAACGCTTCAACGCGGCCTGGAAATTGCTCCACAAAAGCAGTGACACTTGGGAGATGCTGAAGCTCGGGAGCTTGGCAGCTTGGGAGCTGAAAACCCCAGCAGCCAACTGGATGGACAACCAACTGTGCAGAAAGATTTTCGCGCCGCACGAAAACGAGGCGTGCAGAATCCTGCTGCACAGCATTGGGTGAACTAGTGACCTGGTCGTGAGCCAGCAGAGACACCAAGAACGAGCCAGTCCCGCATCATAACACAGAACACGTTCTGGACAACGAAGAACCTAATTTAAGGCCCCTTGCTCAAGTCGGCAATGATGAAAAATTGATTCATTATCAAAATTAGCGAGCCCAGAACAAGCTGAGCGCCTCACGACGCGCGGAGGACACGATGTCGTCCAACTGCAGATTCGGTTCTAGCTGCAGCTCCTGATCCTACTGCTTGTCTATGCAAATCAAGCTGGCTTTGATTTGCTCTTGATTGGGCTTTTTCACAGAGCCCCCGGAAAGGAACATCCAACTTACCATAGCCATTAAGGCAAGTGAGCTTGTCCTGGGCCACGCCCGCATAGGCCTTCTCGTGGGGACCGCTGTCATTTCCATGGGTAGCAGTGCCATCCTCTGGCTGGAACCCGAACTTGTCTGTGATTTGTATGGACTGCATGAGCAGTATGTTATCATCCACAGGGCCCACATCACGACGGTGGCGTGTGCTCAGCAAGAACTCGGCTGCAAGAAAGGGGAAATGACTTTATAGTAAGTTCGATATCGAAACAAAAATACTCATAAGATGCTCAACATCGTGTAAATGAGTATTTTATAAATATTATATGACATTCATACATATGTCATCATTCTGAACAATAGGTATTACTTACCACCATCAGTTCCATTCAGCACCGATCTCTTCTTGCGCCCATACGAAACCAAGGACTTGAGCTCTCCACTGGCGCCATCTTCGCTGTCGCAAATCACGGGTTCGCAGCGCGGAATGCAGGGCGTTACCAAGGCACGAAACTGGACCACTTCGCTTGAAGGAAACTTGAAGGCGTCGAACTGGGAGAGCAGCACCTTGCGATTTTGCGCCAGCTTCTGGATGGTGCCCATGATGTATTGGTCGGTGGGGCAGCCATTAGCATCGATCAGCGTTATCTCGGCGCTGTCCGAGCCATCCATGGCCACCAGTTCCCTCACGAAGATCTCGTACGGACTGTTGGGCTCCACGATCTCGAATCGGAGGGCAAGCGGATCCCCAACCTCTGCGATCCTCTTCATGTCGCTGCCATCCCTAGAGGTGATCTTCATGATCACATTGGGCGAATCAATGGTGATCTCCTCGCTCAAGGAGGACTCAATCTCGCCAGTTACTCCAAGGTCTACATCATTCAGCACTGTTTTGTTGGTCAAATCATACTGACAGGAAACGGCGAGGCCAAGATCGGAGGAGGTGACAATCATGTCGTGATGTTGGATAACTATGTCGTTCATATATCTGCCATAAGCACTCTGGCGCACATTGCACTCCAGGTCATTGTAGCCCATGCGGAAGTCAAACTCCAACGAGTTGTTCACGTTCACAGCGCAGGATTTGGGAGCTCCCTTGGCGTACACCTTGCCATCGAAAAGCTTGGACGTTCTAATCTTGGTGATCATCTCACCGGAGCGGCACTCAATGGACACATTGTAGCAGGCTGACAGTTCATAGGTAGCTGCCTCGGGCACATCCAAGTAAGGATCCATCACATCGGTCAAGGTGGCGCGGCTGTGGTGCGACAATCGGCACACCATGTCTCCGGTGTCATTGTAGTCGTAGGAGTGGCATCTTAACAGGATTACATTAAGTTGGCTATCAGAGAGGGCTCAAACCTTCGCCTTGAGAATGCCTTACCTGTAGGGCGAGTTAAGGCAGAGATCTCTGCACTCGTCGATGGTGTTGATGTCCTGGTAAACCGAATCCACCGTCTTCAGGATCTTTCCCGAAATCCGCTTGAACTCGCACAGTTTGCTGGGCTCCTCTGCGCAGTTGTTCTCCAGGTAGTCGGCTCCATCGTAGGGCTCCACACTGCCTCCAGCAGACAGGGTAATGCGGTCCATGTCGGACAGTTCGCAAAGACCCGAGTGGCGGTAATAGTTCGCCGATCTGGGTGGATTGAGCGGTATAGGGCGGAAGAGTGAAGTGCAGAAAGCGAGTGGCGAAGGTAGAGGAAGAAAGTAAGCGGTACGAGAAGGTATTAGGAAAGATTTGCAAGTTCGAACGAGGGCAATGACATCGTGCTAAGCCGCCCGAAATCTTCAAGTGCAAGCATTATTTTTCAAAATCTTTAAATGTAATAAAATTTGTTAAAATCTTGCGTTCAGGGTTGTTCACCAGGTTATCATACAATTTGCTATTGTGATGCCTATTACTACTAGTCACTTCATATCATGTTTATATTAAACTGAACTATGCAATTTGCATTTATATCGCATGCTACCAAAGTAGAGGACTCAACTTGTCTTAGCTAACACTCACCGGCATGTGAACTCGGTCTCCCCCAAGCAGAGTTCCAAGCAGTCGCGCCGCGACAGAACCGTCTGACTAGATTTGACGTGCTCCGGGAGGCGGTAACCTTGAACGCGATCGATGCACCAGGCCTTCGAGCAAGGACGCACGCCCAAACACGATTTCTGTGCGTAGATGGTGAAAACCGGAAACTGCGAGCGCGAAAGTGAACCTGAAAACGCAGAAATTGAGAAATGAAAAGTGGTTGAAAGGCGGGAAAACGGGGAAACGCAACGGCGCTGTGCGTATTTTATGCGTTTTACGCACACGCCCCTTCACTGCGAAGTAACAGGCGTTGAGAAACGGGCAAAAGGCCCAGTCTTTTGGAGTAGAGTCAGCTGAATCAGCCGAGCCACGACAACTGCATCGACATTCGAGATTCGAGATTCGACTGGGAAGGCTGAGGCTGCAGAAATTATGCGTTACTATGCCAAAAGCCAGTTTGCCTGCAGAATAGGCAAAAATCTAGTTTGCAGGCCGGGCCAAAAACCGCGTCGTGCGTAAAAGCAAGAGGCGTGTACAGGTTCGCTTTTATTTAGTTATGTTTTTTTTTTTGCGAACACGCGGGTGATTTATGCCCCCGGGCCACGACAGCCGCAGCCGACCTGCATGAACTAGAACTCAGTAATTGAGTAAATGAATGAATGAACGGCCGAGTGGCTGTGTCGCTCAGTCGTTGAGCCGTAGAGCCGCTGAGCCGCTGAGTCGCCTGAATTATTGAGCTTTCTTTGGCACAAAAAAGAAATATAAAACAGCACAGCCGTTCGGAATTCTCACACTTTCTAACTCACCTGGCAATTTATCGGCGGTCGTCTTGAACAGCACACACAATCCGGTTTCGTAGTTGACAGCGCTGCAGGATTCGTTATTTTGGCAGGCCTCCAAGCAGTCGGTTAGCATCAGCGTGCCGGGCAGAGTGTCCAGCATTTTCGAGGGAGCCGAAAGCACGTAGCTGAAGAGCGAGGAAAAATGATTTATAAATTAGATCGATTCCAAGATTGCCGAATGATTTACGGTCCCGGTCCCACTAATAGATTCCCAATTCGATGAAAAACGAAAGTGGTCGGACATTCTTGCGATAGAGGGTATTCATTATGGACTGCTCACAAAAGACTGAGGCAACGAACTTGCGGCCGGCGAAGAGTTCGGAAACAGCCATGGATTAGTCACGTTTTAACCAACGAGCGTCACTCCTACCGAAGCCACAAATTTGCATATGCCAGTTAGCAGTGGCGTGGTGGTGGGATTCCCTTTGCTGGTTCCCTTTCTGGGTTCACCGTTATATCGTCTTCTCTTCTTATGGAAATGTTAATTGGACCAGATGTCGAGGTGCATTTCATTCAACATGAATAAACCTGCGGCCGGCCCATTGTGTTGTCGCTCAGAAATTCAAATTTTTAGAAGAAAAGCAAAAGTGAAAATAACAAGTGGCCATAAAATGTAATCAAGTTTCTATAATGCCGGCGGTTGCGCAAGCTGTGGGTTGGGTGAAACTCCCCATTGTTTTGTGACAGTTTTAAAAAGGTGGTGGTGCTCAGAGTAATATTTTATACTCATTATGCAATACTCCATAACAATGTTTGTTAGCTTGCTTATTTATCATAAATCCAATTTGGACAAAGATGATGATGAAGAAATTCAAAAAATGTCCCAAGCCTGAAGTTCTAAACTCCATAACTCAACTTATTTTCATCGGATTTTGAAGTGGCATACATTTAAATGTTTCTGGCGCAATTCTCTAAAAGTCTGCATTTAAATTTAGAAATCTATTTTTTTGTACATTTTTTTTTAATTTTTCTGATGTTATAATGTTGTAGACACTCAAAAATGTCCCAAGACTGAAGACCTTATGTCCATAACTCAACTTATCTTAATCGGATTTTTAAGTGGCATACCTCTAAATGTTTCTGAAGCAATTCTCTAAAAATCTGCATTCAAATTTAGAAATTTATTTTTTATGAATTTTTTTGTAATATTATGATGAGATGATGTAGAAACTAAAAAATGTCCCAAGACTGAAGTTCTAAAGTTCATAACACAGCTTATCTCAATCGGATTTTGAAGTGGCATACCTCTAAATGTTTCTGGCGCAATTCTCTAAGAATCTGCATTCAAATTTGGAAAATTTTCTTTAATTTTAATTAAATTTTTTTATAATTGTTCTGATGTTGAAATGTTGAAATTTCTCGTTTGCACTTCCACTAGCTGAGTAACGGGTATCTGATAGTCGGCTCAACTATAGCATTCTATCTTGTTTTTTATATGTTTTTTACATTGTTTGGCAAACGAATTGTTTAAAGTAAGTCACCAATATAATGTATGTACAGAAACATATTAGTTTCCAAGAGACTGAACTCACCCGGTAATAATCTCAAAGCCAATCATATCTGGATCGCATTCCTCCTCCTGAGCTGGTGCCTTGTCCGTCTTCGCCTCGGGCTGCACCTCGATGGGCGTGACCAGAGGCTTGGGCAGTTCTCCACTGCCGGCTGGAGCTGCAGATCCCACTGTGACCACCTCCTGGTCGCCCCTTGCTTCCGTGGTGGTGGTGCTGCTGGTGCTGGCGGGTGTGGAACTGCCCGATGAGGCAACTGCCGGCGGCGAAGGCGTTACATTGGTGCGCGGATTGGTCTGCTTGACCGGCTTGACAGGACGCTTTGTTTTGCGTGCGGCGCTGGCGGCGTCACTCGCAATTAGGCAGATCAGCAGCAGTAAGGTGCAGCGGCGTAGAAACATTTTGTCTGCAATTGAAATGGTGCACGGTGTGAGTATGGGGACCTGGTAGACTGGGGGCTCCAAAGCTACCCCCCCAGGGAGACGGCTTAATGTTAATTAGGCAACTAATTTCCTATTACGCGCAACATATGTAATTCCTGGTGTGCACATTATTAGTTTGGCGTTAGTCTTAGTAGAATCTAGGGTTCCTCCACGGGGGCTTTGCTCGCCCAGGAATGAAAACGGAACGGAACTTTGTGTCTTCGATGCTATTCTATGGCATTCCGTGGCATTCCCCTGGCCTTTCTGTGTTCGAGCTTTAATTGCTTGAGTTGTTCGCAGTGTGTTCGCAGCGTTTAATTAAAGCTACAGATGCGCTCGGTCTTCCTATTGTGCATATACAATAACAGTTGCACCACCGACAAGCAGAACAAAAACATTGCAGAGGCCCTCAGTGGGGCGAAGTTTTATGTGTGAAAAGCGCCGCCGCCGCCTGGGAAATATTCGGGAGGAGTACTACGGATAGAGAGGGTCTGGATGCGACCGGGCGTAGGTGGCACCATGCTGGGGGAAAACCTGGGAGACCGAGGAGATCCCAGACCCCTGAAACCCCAGGGGCCCAGATTTCACCTAGTATGTATTGCTGTGCACTGTTCCAGATACATCAACTATATAGGTGGTTTCAGTCAGCTGCAATAATTAATATTATTACCAATGATATATGAGCCCTAACATGCTTACCACATGATAAATTACCGCGAAATGTGTTTCTAAGGGGAACATATTTAAACCTAATCTTGTGAGCATAATGATCAGTCAGAAGTGATAATAAGTATTATTACAAGAGTGGGTTGAACCTGCTTCTCATTTGATCTCTTATCATTTCAAGTATATGGTTAGGATCATAAACCTTTTATTGTTTGGCTGTATTTGTTTTGTACAGGACCTGTTTGGTTACTACTTCTTACAAAGGTTAAAAAAGGGGAAGGCTGTTAAATTCCAAGATGAACCCCCTCGAACTCTACTTAGGTACTTGCTGCGTATGCTTGGAATATAGCAGCACACTTTTAACGTTTCTTATTGCACAATTCTCCTGAAGTCATTGACACAGTAACTTGTCTGCCATAACTCTCCGCTAATCCTCTTATGCAATCTCATTTCAAACGCGCGAAACAATTAACACTTTATAGCTGTCGTATCTAAGATGTTTTCAAATGTTTCCTTTTTCGCGAATAACTAGTAACATACTATTTCCCGCAGTTTGGCGTGAAAGTGAATTCACGCTATATCCCCTCTTCATAAAAGGCAGGCAAAACAAACATTTCCAAGTTGTTAAAGATTTTTATGTGTTTCGGCTGTCGATCGCCCGCAAGAGTAAAACTTAAGTTTCACCGGCCAGCAGTAAAAAGACAAAGCAGTCAGAAAATCGAGATTCGCACTGCTGAGCCACCTGTGAGATAATCTAAAGTGTGGCTCATTATTTTGCGGGGAGAAAACGAAGAAGATTTAGCGGTTAATAAGCGGCTGCGTGAGAAAAGAGTTTCGTTTGGATTTTCCTGACTTTTTGTACATTTTCGGTATAAACTCTCTGGCTAGGCGCTTGTTTAATGTTTCGTTAGTTACATAATTAATTAGGAGCAGGGGTTAGCCGGAAGGTGGGTTGCATGCAAAACCAGGACCACGCCCACACAACTCCTGCGACTGGTCGACTGCAACAACGGCTCACACATAAATTATGAAAACCAAACAAGAGTGGAGCGAAAGAACCGTTAATGTTAATAACATGCTTTAAGATACTGCACCAAAAACAATATGTGGCTGAAACCTGGAACCTGGAACCTGCAACCTGCAACCAGAACCCCTCGATCATCCCGGTGGTGCGCAGCACCATTCTTCTGCTCGATTGAACGGAAAAATGAGAAAAACAAAAAACAACCGAAGAATCCGAGGAATAAACCAGAGGCGAACTCATTACGGAACGCTCACTTCCACTTGCAATTAGTTGTATGAATGAATTTATGCTAATTATAGGCCTCCACAGACAACGCAACGCGCCTTTAATAAGCCACCGCGGGCCGAAACATTGACTTTGATTTCAGACCCATTCTTATCTGTGGCTTTTTGGCTTTTCTCTGGCCCTTCCTCTGTGGGTTTTCCTCTCGATTCGGTTCAGTTTCACCTGCTAACCCACAAATGTAATGAGCCATTGACCAAAGTGGACAGAAAAGTCAAGAGAAGAATGGCCCAGCCAAGGGAACGGTAAACGTGCGTGTGTGTGGCATGCGGTTAACTCAAAATTCTGGATTCGGGAAAAGGAAAAACGTTCTGTGGTTTCGTGGCACTTAGAATTTTCATGTGAGCGTAACCGAACCTCGGAAAAAAAGGGTGGCTACATTTTAATTAACCAGTTGCTGTAATTTGTGGCCAGCCAAATCTTTTTTGTTTTTTTTTTTTAGTTTTTTCCGTTTTTCTGTTATTCTTTTCGTACTCTCTGACTTTTGGTTCTTCAACGGCTGATGATTTCCCCCCGACGAGCTTAGATATGTCTATCAATTTCACTAATTGAACGTTAACCAGCCGCCGCATCGTTGCTGGAAGCGGTTTTCCATCTATCAATCATGTAAACTACTCTGCGATTCCAATCGAAGAGAGAGATACAATTTGGTTAGTTATTAGGTGAGACCCGGCCATTGGCCATTCGCAGCTGCTTCCTAGTGTTCAAAGATTCTTCCTTGTTAATGTCTGGCCCATAAACAAAAGACTCACGGAACGAACTAACCATGTGTGTATGGTGCTTTGATTGAGGCCTCGGAGTTTCTATTAAATTTGCTAATGGCTTTTCGGCCCGTCTCTGCAGCTCTGTAGCAAGTGAAAACAAAAGATGAACTCATTTGCTGATGCAAATCTAATTGAAAACGTTTAAATTGAATTCGATCCGCTTTACTGGCCGCTCGAAAGGTCAGTTTACCCCCTCTTACCTCTTTTCAATATACTCGTAATCAATACAAATTTCTCTAGTTTCGTATGCAGGTTCCCACAGTAGGCATAATATTTTCTATCGGACGATTCGAATTTATGCCAACTAAATGCCAAATGCTAATTGACTTTGCGCTCTAACGAAAAAAAAAAAAACACTTTCTCAGTAGAAACAAGGAAAGACTTGACTGCAGGCTTACAATTCCAGTCAGCCTGAGCATGCATAATAAATGTGGCCTGCCGAGAAATGAGTGCTCTCTACCAGAAGGAAGCAGCATATTAGCACTGGAGTCGCCTAGGCGGCATTATCATAAACTAAATATAGCAGCAAATATCAATTTGATTGTGCTGGCCGAGAGCGCACAAATTGAGATCGGCGCACAATGGCGGTTCAGTCCAAAGACTTGCAGACTCGAGACTCGGGACTGGAGTCTACTAGCCGAAGAGCAAAGACCGGGCCAAAACAGGCATTGTGTTGGCCAGCAAGTACCGTTGAGCTTTGCCGCATGTCCGGCTGCTGGCCAGTGATAAATTATCACTGTTGGCCGGGCCATTACTTTTCGGAAATGTACGAGGTGAGCGACTGCAGTGGCTCAGCACCAGCACCTTGGCCACCTCGCCAATAAAATGGGATTCAGAATGCTTATACGATGAGAATGCGCTTTTGGCCGATGGGCAGGCGGTAACCGGAGATAAACAGCCTGCTTTTGCCAAGGCGTTGGCGTTTATTATGCAAATATCTTAGCCTTAACGTAAGGCCGCAAATTAATATTGCTCAGCTCGGAGCTGCAACTGCAGAACAATGTCGCATTCATTTAACGGCACTTGGCTGATTGTTATTTAAAGTTGTTATTTCAGTTCATAACAATTGTTGCAGAGTGCTGCAGTGCGGCGAAGAGTGGTGCTGATGCTCTGACCGCTTCGCAATTTACTACTTTTGCATAGTTAACAACTTGATTGGTAGCACTGGGCCAGCTGACATTGAAATGTAGGCCTTGCCATCATCGATGCCCGCCAATGATTGCCGCTGATGTTGTCGTGGTTGTCTTCTTTGTGTTCTCCTCGAGTCTCCTCTCCTGCCGTCATGCCGCATAAGTGGAGAGGACTGGTTGCTGCTGCCTGTTGCATAACTAACAATGTTTAGAGCGCATAAATACATGGCCACGGCCGCAAGAACACCGTACTGTGGAGTACGGTGGAGCAGAGCGAACTCCATCTAACATCTAACATCTAACATCTAACATCCAGAGTAACGGAGTCCCGCACAAATGCTCATGACATGCAAAGGAATCTCAGTTATGTTGAGGCCGCCCCATGCGGGGCGTGTTTCCCCCAGAATCCCGGGATGCATCCCCAGCCATTTAGCAATGCAAATTGCGTTGTTTAGTTTATAGATAATGTCATTCAGAATGCTCTCGCACAAGTATCAGAAAAATGCTTAAGGAACTCGGCGCGATACAGAACAAGTTAGCTGGCAGAGCAGCTCGATAAATGCCCCTGATAAGGCTGAAGAACGACAGTTGGCATGGAAAGTATAGGTAAATCTACGGGTAGCATTCTTCGGCTGGACTACATCGATTTTGATTGGTGAATTGGGTTGAGTTACGATCAGTGGTATAGAGGAAGCATTTCGACCATTCGTACTGACCATCTATGTGATTGGAATCCACAATCAACAATATGAAAACCATAAGCATATGGTGCTTGTGCAGAAATGTCTTAGAGATACCATTGTAAATACGCCACTTGGAACACCATTAAAGAAACACTCGTCATCAGCTACATCTTAATCTTCATCAGTGCGAGTGGCACTGGAGCCACTTTATGGTCATAAGCCAGGCAATAAACACTTGGAGTTCTTTTCACTTTTTCTCGGCCGTTGATATGCTTTAGGCCCCGTACAACAGCGGCCACTAATCGCCTCATAAAAACACATTTTATTTGAACTACGTGACAAAACGAACCTTGTGGCGAGAAGTGCAAGCGGTGAATCCAAGAAGGTACCGGAGAATAGAGAGCTCTTTGGGACATGTGGCCCAGTACATTTCGCTTTCTGACAGCCCACATTGTGGTATTCTGGCCTTCACCTGGCCATTCTGCGTTCCATTGTCCGATGGCATCAAATTCTACTTGAGCGTTAATTCGAGTCAATAAAAAAGCGTTTAAAAGCAAACAATAATGAATGCTAGTTGCTCTGTGCGGCCGGCTATTAGAAATTCTAGAAAACTGGCGCAAGTATACAGAAGTGAAAGAAAGCCGGCCAGAAGCAAATTAAATGGCAACTGAAAGGCAAAAAACAATAGAAAAAAGCATGCTTTTTCGAAATCGAATGGTCTGTTGGCACGTGTCGTCATGCTGGCTTTTCTTTTTTTTTTTGGAAAATTCTTGGGGGAGCGATTCATAACCGCTGACAGTCAAACATAAATCCCGACAAAGCCCGAAAAGGAAACGGGCGAGAGACAAGAGGAAAAACAACCCGTAAAAAATCTAAACAAATTGAAAAGCGCACGCCAAAGTCGCATCATCATCATCATCATCATCGAGAGCTGGAAAACTGGACCTGGAAATCTGGAAATCAGGTCGCTTGGCGGTCGGGCCTCCCACAGTCATATGATTTATGCCCAGTTAACTGTTCACCCACCGACCGACCAACAACATAGTAACTCATGTGTGCGTTGCAAATTTACGACTCAATCAAATGCAAATTGCAAGAATTTTTGAGCTGAGCTGAGCTGAGGTGAGCTGCACCTGTTGGGGGTCTTCTCCTGGTGACCCAGTTTCCCAGGGGCAAAAACGGTTATAAATTGCGTGAAAATGCATTACGCAAGTACAAAAGGCTGCGAATGGTGGCGGCAACATCATCATCCATTGCCAACAGTCAACATTCACAATGTGCAACAATGTGAATTGGCCGCTCCAGTTTTGCTGGCTAATTTATGCAACATTTGTTCGCTTGGCAGGTGGAAGCTGTCGGCGCACGTAACTGTCAACCTGGCGCAAACTAACTGTAAACTGCATATGCCAACAACCACCCACTGCAGAAAATGGAGCCGCCGAACCACTGAGCCATTGAGCCACCAACCCACCGAACCACCTTTTGCCACTTTTGCCACTTCTGCCACCGAACCACCGACCGCGGAGCTAATTGTCGACGCTTTTTGCATTTAAGCCAATTTGCGTTCACATTGTTGCCCGTCTGGCTGCTGGAAAACGGCTGCCATCTAAATATCTAAACTCGAAGCTAGAATTCTGGCCAAGATCTCTACTTTCAGCCATATCTTCTCTGTGTGTTCGGGCCGATTAGAATGTGCCATTAACCCATTTGCAATCGGTGGTTTGGCGCTTTGCCGTTTGGGCGCGAAATATGCACATAAAGTGGACAATTTAAATGCACAACGAAGCTGGCCAGAAATTCAATAAACTAATTAAGGATATCATTGCTAAGTTAACGACACACGTTTGGTTGTTGCTAAAAGTTATGATAAAATAGATTTATGATTGTCTTTACGATTTCTCGGAAATACAACTATGCAGGTGAAAACCATAAAGGCAATCTGGCTTAAAAGACAAAGATGAGCTCACTATTCGGCAGTGTAATTTGTTTTTCATGTTACCAGTTATTACCTCCTGTATAAGAACTCTTTGTAAGCCTCTGAGGAATCATAATTCATACTTCTCATATTTCATCTATCTACTATACGTTCCTTTTGTCGTTTTAAATACCTTTCCATCCAGTCATTTGTCAACAAACTTTGTATGCACAACAGGTACAGGCGGACCAAAGGATGAATGGCAGGCACTTAAATATGTGGCACTCAAGGGGTTAAAAGCGGCTTACGGCAGCTAAGACAACAAACATTCAAACAAATAAACATCGCGGGGAAACAAACAAGTTTTTGTTGCTCAAACAACACACTGGCCTAAGCAAACAGAAGCAAAACAATTTTAGTTTGGCGTTGGAATGGGAATGGGATTTGTTTGTTTGCCAGATGGATTGACTGATTGATAGACTGACGGACCAAATGACTGGCCAGTGGCTTTTGCTTTGCAAGCCTTATGATTTCGCCTTTGCCGACGTTGCGCTAATTTGTTGGCATCCATCGAGTGGAATTGGCCAAGACAGGAAGGCAGTAAAAAGCCAAGCTGCAGAGCGCTGAAGAATCTGGCAGGCAGACAAACGCTGCCGCCGCAGACTGTCTGCAGAATTCCAGGTAATTCTCCGTTTGATTTATTAACCATCATTACACACATTCGATGGCCGCTGATCTTTCGCTGCTGCCGGGCAATCAGAATCAATATCTCAGCATCACAGTTGGACTTCCGGTTTGAGGTTGCGGTTCAGGTGTTTGTATTTATGCCCACCATTTGCCACAGGAAGAGAAATCAAGTCCTTTTGGGAAAGGAAGCGGATCGGATGGAGCGCTTGTATGGAGCCATAAATAACCACCAAAAAGAGAGTCAGTAGCCCAATTGGCCACGTTATATATAGAATGTATCGCATTATATAATTTGCACTGGCCAAGATTTATGGCCCGGCAACAGTTGCCATTTGTGGCGATCGCTTCCATTTCGAATGCGTCTTTAAAACGCAATAAATATTAAAGCCGCTGGTCCTCTGCGTGCAGTTTATTCACTTTATTCAGTTTATTCGCGCTGCCGTGGCCGTGGAATTGTATCTGCCGATAGGCAGCAACGCGAAAATGCTGCCAAGAAAGCATCTCAAAAGTGGAACAGGCCAACGGCATGCAACATTGGCAAGGAGAGAAGCCACGACAACTGAACTGGGCTCCCTCTCCCTGTTGCTGTTCTTGGCTAACAATATTCATTGCACAATTATGCCTTGCCTGATTCTTATAGCTGATCTTAATGCTTTATATGGACAGCTAATTTATGCAGTGTCTGCACGTCAGTCAGCTGGCAGAAGATACGTATACGTACACGTATATCCACCAGAGTGGAGGGGCCCCAGCCCACGCCAAATTATTTGCTATTTAGTCAAACATCAGCCTAGTTGGTGGAGAACCCGAAACTGGGTCGATGATATGCACTGGAATGCACCCAAGCTGAATTGGGCTTAAACGAATTTCACTCGGCTGACCTTGTGGAGGAAAACGCTTCCACAAGACTCGGAAACCCCATCTTTATCTTGATTATATCAAGTTAGGGGGGTTTTATGTGCTGCTAACGCACTTCCTTTGAAACTCACTTGATTTCTTTAATTAATTTCGAAACGATTACGGCGTGCATTTCGGAATTTGAAAAACCTCTCTAGTGAATGGCGGCGGTATCAAACTTTACGACCAAGCAAGATCACTTTCTTGGCTGCATTTACCACCTGAATCCACCATAAAACCCACTCGTTCGGTTTTTATGCTTCTGTTTCATCGTTCTCACTTCGTTTTACTGAAAATTTAAATATTCCCCGTTCTATAAAGGCAGTCCCCTTCCGGTCTGCTCTATCCTCGATCGTTTCCGTGTTCTGGGAAATTGCCCATGCATAAATTGTTGTATGGTGTCAACTGGATGGCCTATTAAAATACACAAGAATCCTGGCGGTTCTTAAATAGAATTCTCATCCTATTGTCGATTCTGAGACTCTGACACTCTGAACTTGACATAACCCCTGGCCATATTTGATTTGGCACATACCTTAACTGTTTGCCCTCGTGTCTTCAATCCTCTAAATCTTCAGATCGGGTCTTGTCGTCGTTGTATCTGTAAGGCAAACGAATGCAAATTAGTTAAATATTTGCCTACAACAATGGGCCCGGTTTTGAGCCACAAACCCACTTAAAGCTAAAGTACGGGCGATACAGATCTAGGCATCTGCATCTGCGGCAATTGAGTTTAGTGTGACAACGTTTAATGTGAAAACGAGAACTAAATAAATAATGTTTACCGCTGCGCGGCAAGGGAAGGCAGACAAACAATGAGATGCAGCGATAATTTCATTAAAAGAGAGAAAACTTAGGGAGATCGCTATAGTGTACTGGCTGCAGCGGATGGATGGTCGGATGGTTGGATGGTTGGATGTTGTATACGTCTTGACGTCGAGCGCTTATCTGGAGTTTGAATCGTCAGCAGGTGACATTGAAGTAATTTACTTGCTGTTGCCAGTTTCCACCGCTACCCACACAATTTATTTGCAACTATTTAAGCGACGAGAAGAAGGAAGCCAAGAAAGCCAGGCCGAAAGCAGAGAAGCAGCAAGCAAAAAGCCAGGCCAGGCCAGGTAAACCAAGCCAGAGATCTTGGCAAGTATTATTCGCCTGGGTCTCAGTCACTCAGAGAACTTGGCTTTTTTCCCGGAGCCAGAGCTTCTTTTCCAGCTTCTTGCTTTATTATTGGCTGACAGTGGTGTCGTTGTTGTGGCAGTGGTTGTCGTTGCTGCTTCTGCTGCTGCTGCATTTCGCATTCCATGCTAGCGAAAGTTGACCTAGTCGACGATCGCGGTTTTTGTTTCTGTCGTTGGAGGCGGCAGGGGTTGCTAGTCGAGGCAGTACAAATTTGCTTATAAATAACGAAATTAAATATAGCCAAAAGCCAAATAACTCAACTAGCAAGTAAGGACTACCTCATATACAAGGCACAGTGGAAAAGTTTATGATCAATTGATCATTTAGTGCCATTATTTCGATATTATTTTGAATGCCTTAAATATGTCCAGAACTGCTGACAAAAGATGCAAACATCATTTAGTCTCAAAATCTGAATTCAAAAGCAATCTTTTTTTCGCGCAGCCATTTAACTTGGAAATTTGCACAAGTTTCTCCCGGTCAATCTCTACTGTATTCTACCAACTACGATATCAACTACCAACTAGCCGCTGAAGACTGAAAACATTTGCACAATTAACTATGCAATGCACGCGCCCGACTTCGATGCTCCCGATGCTCGTTTCTTTTCGGCCACTTTCTTTTGGCAGTTTTAAAATGCAAATTGTTTTGATGATGGAGTGCCAGGCATTCTAATCAACTGGAGATTTCCGCAAGATCTTCAACTCTTACTTTCGATCCGTATCAGGTTACCTCTTCTTCACCCCAGACGTCAGCAGCTTAGAAGTACAAGATGTTTCCGCTGGCGGCCAAGAAAGAAAGAACTACAAGAGGCGGAAGCCTCAGCCTCAGCTGACAGCCTCAGTCTCTGAGACATTGAACTGTAACACTTTCTATTGGGGTCAGTCAAAAAACCAACCACCAACGAACAATAATAAAAATGCCATTGAATGGGTGTAGAAGCGGCTAGAAAAAGTCGTGGCAGGTTGGCTCATAAAGCCGGACATGGCATGCATGACCGGCACAGTGGAAAAATGCCCGAAATGCCAGGCACGTAGTCCCCCCGGTAAAAAAATATCCACTAACTCTGGAAGTCCAACCTATTAATGTAATACTTCTCCCAATCTTCAGGCTCTTCTTTACTTTATATATACACTCCTGAACTAAAACGCATGCAATGTCAAAATGTTAATAGCACTCAATGGCATCCACCGGCTTTTTTCCACCTCCCTGGATGGGGGCTCCTATAGAGGTCTGCTAGGTCTGGGGGTCTGCGGCGCTTTCTTTTGTGCACCCAACCAAGATTTTTGTCACGATCCCCAGACTTTAACGTTTATTGGATTATTGTCATTAAATTTGTTTGGCTTCGCGGAAAGTCTTGAAAGCGAAATCCGGACAGGAGAAACTTGGCAGGGGGTTGGGAGGGAAGGTCTTCGCCATGAGTCAGAGGTCTGATCTTTAGAGGCGCTACTCGTCTTGCAGTGACCTTGGGCAGAGGTCACGTATTAAATGTTCAAAGGGCTGGATTTCAATTTTGTAAAGAGATATTCATAATTAAGTTGATAGTATAAAGGGGAAAATGGATGTGGGATACTTCCAAAATGTATGTGAATTCTGCTAACGTGTTCTGTTCTAACCTGTTGCACCTCTTAATTTTACCATCATTTCTTTATTTGGTTATTCTACTAGTTTTATAAATGATGCATTCTAGGTCGGACTCGACTGATGTTCGTTTGGCCAGCAGATGTCCCAATCCCATGCCTAGATCCTTCAGCCGACTTTTACTTTTGCTCCCAGGTAATTGGCGCTTTTCCTTTTCGACATTATCATTGGCGGCATACAGACAAATATGTATGAGGCACTGCATCCACATATCCATCGGCGAGCCAGCTGGCAAATGTCAAAGTTTAAGTAAATACAAACGCCTTGGCATTGGCATTGGCATTGCGATGGCGATTGCCATTTGGTCGTGCCAGATGGGTTTGAGTTTGAGTTGCACCCAAAGCGTTTTGCGCCTCCTCTGGTTCGTATTCGCGCATTCAATCGGCGACAATCACAAGGCTTTTCGAGGGGAAAGACGTTTTTATTTATGGCCAAGGAAGCCGAACAAGCGAAAGTCAAATTCTTCAACGATTATTTCTTGCTGATTTTCGGCGGCCGCTTCTTCTGTCTGAAACCGTTTGCCCAAACTATGGTGTCATTTATCCCCACCTCGGGTTCATTTTTCTTCTTTTCGCATTTTTGGTTTTTTGGATTTCGGATTGGCTGCAGGCGGCAGAAGGCAGGAGGCAGGAGGCGATGGCAACTCCTGCCATTGTCTTCGGCCTGACTTTGGGTTCATTGATATTTCGAGTGTGCGAAAAGTGAAACTCTCGATTGTCGATGTCTCTGCCTGTGAACTTGGCTCAGATATCTTAGCCTCTGGCTGCTGCCAAAGCTGTATTTGAAAGCTTTTTACTTTTCGATTAAATTTCAATTAAAATATTACGGCAACACAAACGGCAGCAAAATACTTTCACACAATCGCAAATTATTTCGGGCAGCACTTCTGATCGAATTAGCCAAACTGCATGTCTTCAAATCGGACACTTTTCAATGAAAGCGAATCAAGTGCGAAACGAGCTGGCATTTTGATAGACAGGTTGTGCTGTTGCCATGCTATTAGCCTCTTGAGATATGGCTGCGATCTCGATGCGACGTACAGGGCGTATGCTTAATAAGTGTAATTCACATGATCAAAATGGTTTGATATAGCCACGCAAAATCGTGGGATAAACTGTACTGCCAGCCAGATCATCTTCTCGGGGGAAATGCGATGTGTAGAAAGCTGCTCTCATCGGATGATGATATCATCAGCCAATTTCCTTCGATAATTTCTCAACCTAATTTCGTGCATCTTGTGCATAAATTATCATGAAGCCGATCTAAGATCAAGCGGCATTAGCCCCAAAAAAGGTGCCAAAATAGTAGAAGAGCTAATCGCTGGCCAAAGCCAAATGCAAAGCAATCCAAACAGTTATTTTTTTTCCCATCCGTCGACCATTGTTGGGTAAATCTGTGCTAATTGCCAGACCAAACAGCCAACTGACCCAAAAGTTGACAATCGCAAATAAACATAAATGGTAATTTGGCACGCCGAAAACCAAACAGTAAAACTGTTGGCCCAAATGAGACTTACAGATGGCGAACTCTTCGAAAGGTGGACTTGGTTTCTTGGCAATTGAAAATGCGGCGGTCGGTCCATCAATCAATTATCTTGGTTAAACTGAAACGGAAGCGGTTTTTCTGCCTGACAATCACAGTCGCAATCTCGCTACTTAGAATCCATTTCGCGATTTCATCTCGACGACTACGATGATTAGCCATTGATGACCACTGTCAGCCGCAAAAGTAAATTACAAAATGGAAGGAATAGAAAAGCATGAGCGCACATAGCCTGCCTGGAAGGTAGAAATCAAATGCAAAAACGAACGCGCGGACTTGCGCCAAATGTCAAATTAAATCTATCAATTTCACGGCAGAATGAACGCCCAAATGCGGTGGGTCTCGTATAGAGCCCATATAAAATCCGCATGGCCAGACGTTTGAAATTGCTTTGCTGACACCACAGTGTGTGGGGAGTGGCCAGGTGGTGGCTGCAAGGTGCTTTACATACTAGATACTAGCGCTGAGGCACAGCTGCTCTGGCTGGCTACCTGGTGTTGTGGCATTTGATGTTGCTTGCCCGTAATTGCAATGGGAGAACTTTTTGCAGGGGCTAATCAACGCTAACTGCAACAAACAAGCTGGACAAACAAACGCAAATTGTTTTTTAAGGCACGGAAGCCTAGGCCCCTGCGAATATTAAATGCACATGACAAATTGCCAAGCCGAAGGCGAAGGCTCTTGAAGATTCTCTTTTTTCATCATGGTTTTCTTGTCTTTTGCCATTTCTTACCATTTCTTGCCATTTGGCGGCAATTAAAGCGCACGCTTCGTCTAATCAACGGCGACTGGCAGGCTGCGTAAATGAATAGCTGCCAGGCGAACGAAGGCTGTGTTGTAACTGTCATGTCATCGTGATGATGCCAACTCCCTAGCTTTCTGGCCCACAACTGCTGGCCAAGTCAGCCAAAGCCCAGTCATGGCCAGGGCAATTATTGCGGGCAAATTTAAATACCAGCTCCCCGAAGATCCCTAGCTAGCTAACCGACACGGTAGCTGACACTCAATGGATCATTTCAGCCGGTGGTCTGTGCTTCTTGGGTTCTTTGGCTTTAGCCTGGCTCTTCAGATCTCAGATCATCAACGCCTTTTATCAGGGTCGCGGTCCTGTTCTAGCATCTCTTTTTCCGCACTCTTTGGTCTTGGGCTCTATTCTGACACGTTTCATTGTGGATTTCACACCACATCTGGGGCTTAATTATTTTAATTGCCCGACTTGTGTTCACTTTTAATTATGGGGAATCTAGATGATCTATAAAAGACAGCACAAGACAACGAAACTTAATGAATCTGTTGCCAATTAATGCAAATATCATGGATGCCATCACAATTACAATCTGGATACATTATTTTTGATTGCAGCGAGAAATGTTAAATCTAAGAAGGGTTTGGTCAATGCCCTTACATACATTTTGTGGATGTTTGTTTCAGTGTTTGAATGTAATGTAAATTTCATAAATGTGATAACGAGCTACTTAATCCTTATGTGAAGTTATTCAAAATGTCATTTAATATTGTATATTTTTGTATTCACAGTTCAAAATTCTTCTGTTATCTGAGAGCAAATATTTAAGGAAAATCAAATGTGTGGATAAAACAAATTAAAAAATATTTTCGACTACAAAGGTAAGTGAACCGCTATTAAAAGCACTTGAATTATTTATTTTGAACTCAATGGGGATTGGGAAATTCTGTAATCAATCGACCCAAGGTTGTTCTCAAAGCAGATTGTTCAAAGTAGAAGGAGATTTCTTGCCGATCACTGTTTCTGAATTTCTTACTTGTCATTGCGCATAATACGTGTGTGTGGTAAAAGTTAATAAACACTCACTTGGCCAGAATAACTTGCAACTGCAACTGTAACTTGGGGTCGTGAGTTCTGGAAGTGACCGAAAAGTATCCTTTCCTTTCGGATTGTCTTGTTCTCCTGCCTTTTTTGGCTATCGGTGCTGAGTCACGCTTCACTTTCGAGATGAGTTTTATTCATGTATGTAAATGATCACTGTTTGCTGATTACACACATTGCACATCGGTGGGTATTGAATGTTGCACTTGACTTTGCTTGCAGGTTGTTCCTCGACAAAGGCGCGGATAAAGTTCCTTGAAACGAGATTCGGTGCTTTTGTGATTTATTTTTTGGATGGCAAGTCGCGAGATCGCTGCGAGCTTGACCGTCGAGAGTTGACCGAATAACTAAAGCAAACTCCGGGCTAATCAGTCGTTATATAAGTTGCTCACTGAGGAGTTTTGAGTTCTTCAGCTGCTTTTCTTTGGCTGCCTTGCTGCGCTGCTCGCGTGCGTTCGCCTTGACAATGGCCAACGATATAAAGTGCTGCCGAGCATAGAGCTCAAAAGAAAGCCAAAAACACACACAAAGCGGTCGAGCAAAGAAAGCCAAAGAAATGAGTTGCAAACACAAACGGCTCAAAGCCAAACACTCGTCTGAGTTTGAGTTTGAGTGAGTTGCTGTGGGGAAAAGCGAGTGGGTAAGTGCTGGCTTTTGGTTGCATTTCTCTCGGCATCGCGCTCTTCTGGGGCGCTCTTCGCTTCAGGTGCTCTCTTCTGGGGCACATGTGGCATGTTTCATTGAGTCCCATCGCGGTCCATTCATAATTTCGATTACCAAATCCCCCGGCTGAAACGGAACCAAGAGGGTTCAAAACGGGCACACACGACGTTCAATATCATTAATTAAATTGGAATCAGTTCTAGAGCTGCTAGCTGAGGAGGAGATCGAACTGGAGAGCTAGAACCGGGGAAAAATCAATTTGGCCCATGAGATCGCACTTAGTCGAGTTATTGGTACATGAAAATTATGATATTACTTCTTGGCCAACTTGAATTCTCATTTTTTTTGCTCTCGTCTTGTGGCCAGCCAGGCAGTGTCGTGCGTTTTATGCTCCATAAAAGCTGTCCAGCACCGCAGTTTAAATGAATTAGGAGCCCAAAACGAAGTCAACTTGAATAGAAAGGTGCAGCAGAATCGAGGAAGAAATCAAAACGTCCATCAATTGATCACACAGCCCCTTTAGCTGCCAAAGAAAGTTACAGTTTTGTTGGACAGCGTAGATAAACAAATAGTTTAATAACATTTCTATTGAGTCATTAACATGTTAGGCTCATAAATTGAACGATTGGAATGACGATCATCCAATGTAAACACAGGCGATCACAAAACAATCGATACAAAAGGCCACCGAAAAATGAATCAATTTGGTATCGGATTTTTGATTGTTGTGGAATCGCATGACGGCAGACGGGAGACCTTTCGCTTTCAACGAAGCTGTAACTGAAAAGCGGCACGATCTTCTGCATACTGATGAGTCCATAAGGCCCTCATCACAATCTGGAGAAAGCTAAGCCGAATCAAAGAAATCCACAACTGAAGACACAGCGACAATTGCTAAATGAAATGTCGCGCAAGGAAGCGCAAATTGTAACTCTGGCAAAGCGGCAATCAAATGTCGCCGGAAATGTTTACACAAAGCGCTCGAAAATGCCCGAAAATGTTTTGAAAAGTTAGAAAAGAGGGGATTTGAGGGGTTAGAAAGGCAATTTGCATTTCACCGTGTGACAATGACAGCTGCTTAATGATGATGCACGTTGATTTGCGAAGATTTGCGAGATTTGGTGATCTGTATCTCGGTGATTTTTTTCTTTGGTGTGACTACCAACAGGTGAATATTTTTTTGCAAGAATCAAGGCTTCGTTATCGTCGCTGCTTTCGTTTTTCAGCGAAAATAAAAACAGTTATTTCCGAGCAGCTGCACATGTTTCGTCTATCCCATAAAGTTCGTTGCTTAAGTTTTTAGTTATTATACATGTTATTTTTGTTAATTTTTTTTTTTTTTAATTTTTCTGATGTTATGATGTTATGAAATTCAAAAAAATTTTAAAATGGCTGAAATTCTAAGGTCTATAACTCATCTTATCTTTATCGGAATTTGAAGTGGCATACCTTTGAATGTTTATGAAGCAATTCTTTATAAATCTGCATTCAAATTTGGATTTTTTTTTTCTAAATTTTTTGTAATTCTTGAATTAATTTTTGAAATTCAAAAATGTCCCCAGGCTGAAGTTCTAAACTCCACAACTCAACTTATCTTAATCGGAATATGAAGTGGCATACATCTAAATGTTTCTGGAGCAATTCTCTAAAAATCTGCGTTCAAATTTAAAAATTTTTTTTTCAAAATTTTTTTTTTTAATTTTCTGATGTTATAATGTTGTAGAAACTCAAAAATGTCTCAATAGTGAAATTCTAAAGCCCATAACTCAACTTATCTTAATCGGATTTTGAAGTGGCATACCTCTAAATGTTTCTGGAGCAATTCTCTAAAAATCAGCGTTCAAATTTGAAAATTTATTTTTTCAAAATTTGTTTTTTAATTTTCATGATGTGATGATGTTGTAGAAACCCAAAAATGTCCCAATAGTGAAGTTCTTATGTCCATAACTCAACTTATTTTAATCGGATTTTGAAGTGGCATACCTCTAAATGTTTCTGGAGTAATTCTCTAAAAATCTGCGTTCAAATTTGAAAATTTATTTTTTCAAATTTTTTTTTGTAATTTTCATGATGTGATGATGTTGTAGAAACTCAATAATGTCCCAAGACTGAAGTTCTAAAGTCCATAACTCAACTAATCTTAATCGGATTTTGAAGTGGCATACCTCTAAATGTTTCTGGAGCAATTCTCTAAAAATCTGCGTTCAAATTTGAAAATTTATTTTTTCAAAATTTTTTTTTTAATTTTCATGATGTGATGATGTTGTAGAAACCCCAAAATGTCCCAATAGTGAAGTTCTTATGTCCATAACTCAACTTATCTTAATCGGATTTTGAAGTGGCATACCTCTAAATGTTTCTGGAGCAATTCTCTAAAAATCTGCGTTCAAATTTGAAAATTTATTTTTTCAAAATTTTTTTGTGATTTTCATGATGTGATGATGTTGTAGAAACTCAAAAATGACCCAAGACTTAAGTTCTAAAGTCCATAACTCAACTTATCTTAATCGGATTTTGAAGTGGCATACCTCTAAATGTTTCTGGAACAATTCTCTAAAAATCTGCGTTCAAATTTGAAAATTTATTTTTTCAAATTTTTTTTTGTAATTTTCATGATGTGATGATGTTGTAGAAACTCAAAAATGTCCCAAGACTGAAGTTCTAAAGTCCATAACTCAACTTATCTTAATCGGATTTTGAAGTGGCATACCTCTAAATGTTTCTGGAGCAATTCTCTAAAAATCTGCGTTCAAATTTGAAAATTTATTTTTTCAAAATTTTTTTGTAATTTTCATGATGTGATGATGTTGTAGAAACTCAAAAATGTCCCAAGACTGAAGTTCTAAAGTCCATAACTCAAAATATCTTAATCGGATTTTGAAGTGGCATACCTCTAAATGTTTCTGGAGCAATTCTCTAAAAATCTGCATTCAAATTTGAAAATAAATTTTTTTCAAATTTTTTTTTGTAATTTTCATGATGTTATGATGTTGTAGAAACTCAAAAATGTCCCAAGACTGAAGTTCTAAAGTCCATAACTCAACTAATCTTAATCGGATTTTGAAGTGGCATACCTCTAAATGTTTCTGGAGCAATTCTCTAAAAATCTGCATTCAAATTTGAAAATTAATTTTTTTAAAATTTTTTTTTGTAATTTTCATGATATGATGTTGTAGAAACTCAAAAATGTCCCAAGACTGAAGTTCTAAAGTCCATAACTCAACTTATCTTAATCGGATGTTGAAGTGGCATACCTCTAAATGTTTCTGGAGCAATTCTCTAAAAATCTGCATTCAAATTTGAAAATTTATTTTTTCAAATTTTTTTTTGTAATTTTCATGATGTGATGATGTTGTAGAAACTCAATAATGTCCCAAAACTGAAGTTCTAAAGTCCGTAACTCAACTAATCTTAATCGGATTTTGAAGTGACATACCTCTAAATGTTTCTGGAGCAATTCTCTAAAAATCTGCGTTCAAATTTGAAAATTTATTTTTTCAAAATTTTTTTTTGTAATTTTCATGATGTTATGATGTTGTAGAAACTCAAAAATGTCCCAAGACTGAAGTTCTAAAGTCCATAACTCAACTTATCTTAATCGGATGTTGAAGTGGCATACCTCTAAATGTTTCTGGAGCAATTCTCTAAAAATCTGCATTCAAATTTGAAAATTTATTTTTTCAAATTTTTTTTTGTAATTTTCATGATGTGATGATGTTGTAGAAACTCAATAATGTCCCAAGACTGAAGTTCTAAAGTCCATAACTCAACTTATCTTAATCGGATTTTGAAGTGGCATACCTCTAAATGTTTCTGGAGCAATTCTCTAAAAATCTGCGTTCAAATTTGAAAATTTATTTTTTCAAAATTTTTTTGTGATTTTCATGATGTGATGATGTTGTAGAAACTCAAAAATGACCCAAGACTTAAGTTCTAAAGTCCATAACTCAACTTATCTTAATCGGATTTTGAAGTGGCATACCTCTAAATGTTTCTGGAACAATTCTCTAAAAATCTCCGTTCAAATTTGAAAATTTATTTTTTCAAAATTTTTTTGTAATTTTCATGATGTGATGATGTTGTAGAAACTCAATAATGTCCCAAAACTGAAGTTCTAAAGTCCGTAACTCAACTAATCTTAATCGGATTTTGAAGTGGCATACCTCTAAATGTTTCTGGAGCAATTCTCTAAAAATCTGCGTTCAAATTTGAAAATTTATTTTTTCAAAATTTTTTTTGTAATTTTCATGATGTTATGATGTTGTAGAAACTCAAAAATGTCCCAAGACTGAAGTTCTAAAGTCCATAACTCAACTTATCTTAATCGGATGTTGAAGTGGCATACCTCTAAATGTTTCTGGAACAATTCTCTAAAAATCTGCGTTCAAATTTGAAAATTTATTTTTTCAAAATTTTTTTGTAATTTTCATGATGTGATGATGTTGTAGAAACTCAAAAATGTCCCAAGACTGAAGTTCTAAAGTCCATAACTCAACTAATCTTAATCGGATTTTGAAGTGGCATACCTCTAAATGTTTCTGGAGCAATTCTCTAAAAATCTGCATTCAAATTTGAAAATTAATTTTTTTCAAATTTTTTTTTGTAATTTTCATGATGTTATGATGTTGTAGAAACTCAAAAATGTACCAAGACTGAAGTTCTAAAGTCCATAACTCAACTAATCTTAATCGGATTTTGAAGTGGCATACCTCTAAATGTTTCTGGAGCAATTCTCTAAAAATCTGCATTCAAATTTGAAAATTAATTTTTATCAAATTTTTTTTTGTAATTTTCATTATATGATGTTGTAGAAACTCAAAAATATCCCAAGACTGAAGTTCTAAA